AATTCAAAAAAAAGGGGGCGTTTGTTAACTAAAAGGGGAAGAAAGGGAAGGGAAAAATTTAAAAATCATCCCCAAAATTCTTTCCCAAAAATTTTAGAAAATGGATAATAGCCCACCAGGAGAAAAACAAAAAAGACTGCTTTTTTAGATGGAGGTTCAAGAAAATGGGGAAAAGGAAAAAAACCCTTTAGAAAAAAGGGGGAGCCCAAGCGGGTTACAGGGCGAAAAATTTAAAGGAGCCCAACATTGAAAAATTTTAAAACACCATGGGGGAAAATCTTGGGGGACTTTTAAAATTGGGGGATTTATGGGGACTGTCGGGGTTTCCCAGGTATGACCAGAGGTGTTTTACTGAAGCAGGGAAAGCAAAACTTCAGTATTGAAAACCCAAAGTAATTTATTAACACTAAAAATTCCAAACAAAAACCCATTTCCTTACTAAACATAATACAGTCAAACAAACCAACCCCCCCCACAGAAAACCCGAAACCTCCCAAGCAGCGGTCAGGCGGGCCGAGTAAATTAAAAATTTGGGGCGGGTAGGTACGGGGGGAAAACGGAAAATGGGGGGGGTCACGGGCCGGGGTTCAGCATGTAGCAAACAGCTTTATTACAGAGGGTGGGGGCGAGGGAGGGTCAGGGTCACAACCGGGGATCAAAAACGGTAGCAAAGGAACAAAAACCCAGGATGCAACAGTTTACGGGGCCCAGGACAAAAAACAACCCCAAAGGGGGCAGGTCGCAAGTCTGGCCACCCCCTTAAAAATACCCAGTATCATAAATTCCAGGTGTTAGCTGGCTAAAAAGGTTGAGTCTCTGATTGCGGGGGAGCACCCCTGGCCAGCCCTGGTACTGCAAAATAAAAAGGGGCGGTGAGTCCCCCTTTTGCGGGCCCAGCCCCTTTCTGACAGAACCCCCCCCCCTCAAGGAGCGGCCTCAGGACGCTCCTCCAAACAGTCCTAGCTGGGAAAAATGTTTCCACCCATCCCGGGTCTGGTAACTGGCGGGATATCAAAGACTGGCACACGGGCAGGACCTCGGGCAAGCGTACACCGGGCAGAGGGGGGAAAAAGGCACATCGGGCTGGGGACTCCCGGGCAGAGGCACATCGGGCTGGACTCCGGGGCAGAGGCACATCGGTCTGGACTCCGGGCAGAGGCACATCGGGCTGGACTCCGGGCTAGAGGCACATCGGGCTGGAACTCCGGGCAGAGGCACATCGGGCAGGACCCCGGGCAGAGCAGCACACCGGGCAGAGGCACATCGGGCTGGACTCCGGGCAGAGGCACACCGGGCAGAGGCACATCGGGCTGGACTCCGGGCAGAGGCACATGGGCAGGACTCCGGGCAGAGGGCACATCGGGCAGGACTGCCGGGCAGAGGCACATCGGGCAGGACTCCGGGGCAGAGGCACATCGGGCAGGACTCGGGGCAGAGGCACATCGGGCAGGACCCCTGGCAAGAGGGCACATCGGGCTACCAGGCGAAGCGGCAGGCACCAGGGCCCCCATGGCGGGGGCGTCAGGCCTCGGCCCCCGGGCGGGGCGTCAGGCCTCGGGCCCCCGGGCGGGGGCGACAGGTCTCGGGCCCTCGGGCGGAACTACAGGTCTCGGGCCCTCAGGCGGAACTACAAGGTCTCGGGCCCTCAGGCGGAGCGGCGGGTGCCGGACCCCCAGATGGAGCGACAGGCCTCGGGCCCCCAGGCGGGGCGACAGGCATCGGGCCCCCAGGCGGGGTTGACAGGCATCAGGCCCCCAGGCGGGCGGACAGGCATCGGGCCCCCAGGCGGAGCGGCGGGCGCCGGAACCCCCGGGTAGTAGCGACAGGTCTCGTGCCCTCAGGCGGAGCGGGCGGGCGCCGGACCCCCAGGTGGAGCGACAGGCATCGGGCCCCCAGGCAGGGCGACAGGCATCGGGCCCCCAGGCGGGGCGACAGGCATCGGGCCCCCCAGGCGGAGCGGCGCGGGGCGCTGGACCCCCGGGTGGAGCGACAGGTCTCGTGCCCTCAGGCGGAGCGGCGGGCGCCGGAACCCCCCAGGTGGAGCGACAGGCATCGGGCCCCCAGGCGGGGCGACAGGCATCGGGCCCCCAGGCGGGGCGACAGGCATCGGGCCCCCAGGCGGGGCGACAGGCATCGGGCCCCCAGGCGGAGCGACAGGTCTCGGGCCCTCAGGCGGAGCGGCGGGCGCCGGACCCCCCAGGTGGAGCGACAGGTCTCGGGCCCTCAGGCGAGCGGCGGGCGCCGGACCCCCAGGTGGAGCGACAGGTCTCGGGCCCTCAGGCGGTTTAGCGGCGGGCGCCGGACCCCCAGGTGGAGCGACAGGTCTCGGGCCCTCAGGGGAGCGGCGGGCGCCGGACCCCCAGGTGGAGCGCACAGGTCTCGGGCCCTCAGGCGGAGCGGCGGGGCGCCGGACCCCCAGGCGGTGCGACAGGTCTCGGGCCCTCAGGCGGAGCGACAGGTCTCGGGCCCCCAGCGGGGCGGCGGGCGCCGGACCCCCAGGTGGAGCGGCGGGGCGGCCGGGACCCCTCAGGTGGAGCGGCGGGCGCCGGACCCCCAGGCGGAAGCGACAGGTCTCGGGCCCCCAGGCGGAGCAGCGGGCACCGAGTCACCAGGCACGACAGTGGGCTCCGAGTCAACTGGCATGACCGCCTGGCACTAGGTCAGACATTGGGATCGTCTGGCTGGACAGCGGGCATCGGGTCACCAGGCCATCAGGTCATTTGGCTCGACAGGGCGGGCACCGCGTCATACTGGCAAGGCAGTGGGCTCCGAGTCAACTGGTATGACCCGGGGCACTGGGTCAGACATTTGGATCGTCCTGACCGGACAGCGGGCATCGGGGTCACCAGGCATCAGAGGTACATTTGGCTCGGACCGCGGGCACCGCGTCATCCTGGCAAGGCAGTGGGCTCCGAGTCAACTGGTATGGACCGCAGGCACTGGGTCAGACATTGGATCGTCTGACTGGACAGCGGGCATCGGGTCACCAGGCATCAAGTCAAATTTGGCTTGACAAGCGAGCACCGCGTCATCTGGCAAGGCAGTGGGTTTTCCGAGTCAACTGGCATGACCGCGGGGCACTGGGGCAAACATTGAATCGTCTGGCTGGACAGCGGGCATCGGGCACCAGGCAATCAGGTCATTTGGCTCGACAGCGGGCACCGCGTCATCTGGCAAGGCAGTGGGGCTCCGAGTCAACAGGCACGACAGTGGGCACCGGGTCATCAGGTACCGGTTGTCTGGCTCGACAGCAGGCATCGGGTCACCAGGTATGACAGCGGGCACTGGGTCACCAGGCATCAGGTCATATTTGGCTTGCCCAGCGGGCACCGCGTCATCTGGCAAGGCAGTGGGCACCGGGTCACCAGGCATTGGATCGTCTGGCTCGCGACAGCGGCATCGGGTCACCAGGTATGACAGCGGGGCACTGGGTCACCAGGCATCAGGTTCATTTTGGCTCGCCAGCGGGCACCAACCCACGCTCCTCCCCGTCATCTGGCAAGGCAGTGGGCACCGAGTCCACCAGGTACGACAGCGGGCTCTGAGTCAATTGGCACGGACAGCGGGCACCGGATCAGGTACCGGATCATCTGGATCAACAGCGGGCATCGAGTCAACTGGCCTAATAGGATCGTCAGGCTGGATCAGTTCATTCATGCTGGGTAGAGGCATCAGGCTGAATGCCGGCGTCTGGCTGAGTAGGAGGCTTCAGGCCGAGTAGAGGCTTCAGGCCGGAAGTAGGAGGCATCAGGCCGAGTAGAGGCATCAGGCCGAGTAGAGGCATCAGGCCCGAGTAGAGGCTTCAGGCCGAGTAGAGGCTTCAGGCCGAGTAGAGGCTTCAGGCCGAGTGTTTTGGAGGCTTCAGGGCCGAGTAGAGGCATCAGGCTGCATACCGGCATCAGGCTGCGTACAGGCATCAGGCTGCGTACAGGCATCAGGCCGAGTACAGGCATCAGGCTGCGTACAGGCATCAGGCTGCGTACAGGCATCAGGCCGAGTACAGGCATCAGGCCGAGTACAGGCTTCAGGCCGAGTACAGGCTTCAGGCTGAACCACGGAAGGCAGGCTCACCGGTTTGGATACTGGCAGGGATGGTATTGGTTGGAAAGAATTTTCGCTTTTTTCCGGTTTTAAACTACTGGAGCACTGCAAGTAAACGCAGGTCTGCAAACGAATGGAGCAGCTGGAGACAGAGGAAGAACTGGGTCCGGATGGAACAGGAGAGGGACGCAGTTGCTACAGAGGACTTTTTTACAGGGTTAAAGGCAGGATGGTGCCGCGAGTGGGAACAGGGTACTGACATGCGGATAAGATTAGCCAAGTTATTCTGGGCTGTAACTGGAGGAGCTGTTGGGGGATTACAGGAGTAGAGTTAGAAGCAGGGACTGGGTTTTTGTAAGCTGACTGAGGCAGGTGCAACAAATCTGTTCCATGTCTGCAGTATGGGTTGAACAAAGCTGAGCTTACACAAAGCCTGTCTGGTCAATGACTGCACTGCGTTTATACAATCTCTTAGTGTCTGTGGTGAAACATGTGGAATAACGCTCCAGAAAGTAACCCACATCATCCTCTAATAACCACACCTAGGGACTCTACCTGGTCTGCACTAAATGGTGGCAAAAATTCATCCCTGCATTCGGGGGAACCAGATGAAACCAACTCTGCACAAACCCCTCAAATCAAAGGCTGCACCTCAGAGAACTCTGTGCCCTGATCTACTTGAACATGAGCGAGCCCGTATACATTCTAGCAGTTCATCCCGGGTATACTCCTTCAGAGTTTGATAAGCATTTACTCCCTGTCATTCAAACACTAGCAGATATAAATACGCAACCTCATCCAGATCCATCCTTCCCATCAACAAGCCAAGATGGCTTCCCTGTGCAGCCACTTCTGGTCAGGATTGGCCTTGGTGTAATGTCTGGGCTCCCAGGTCTGCTGAGTGTCGACCAGAGGTGTGTGACTGAAGCAGGGAAACGCAGACTTCAGGATATGTGATAACAATGTAATTTGATTAACACTAACAATACAAACATAAAACGCAGTGGCAATACTAAACATAAATACAGTGCAAACAAACCAACCACCCACAGATAAACAGTACATACAAGCAAGCGTCGTCAGGGCAGGGCCGAGTCAATATCAATTGGGCAGGTAGGTACAGGGGGAGCAAGCGGAGAATGGGCTCGGGATCACAGGCCAGGTTCAGCAGGTAGCAAAGCAGCGTAGTACAGAGGGTCAGCAGAGGGGATGGTCAGGGTCACAAGCCAGGGATCAGAACAGGTAGCAAAGGACCAGAAACAGGATGCAGGGACAGATACAGGGTGCCCAGGACAAACACAACACCAAGCAGAAGTCTGCAAGTCTGGCCATCCCTTAAATACACCAGTATCATCAGTTCCAGGTGGTTATCGCTGGCTGAAAGGTTGAGTCTCTGATTGCTGGGAGCACCCGCTGGCCAGCCCTGGTACTGCAGATCAAAAGGGCAGGTGAGTCCCACCATTGCTGGCCAGTCCATTCCTGACAAGGACAGGGAAGTTTCAACAAGAAAAAGGCTCAGTAAAATCAACGAAATATAATTGTTCGATTCCATAATTATGGAGACAAAGAGGAGATATGGAAGAAGATTAAAGGAAGAACAAATATTAAGTATGGAGGAAAAAATAAGTATTCAAATTTTTGCAGATTAGCAGCCGGGACATTTGAGAAGAAAGAGATCATTGAAACCCCTACTAGAATTGTTGAAAAAGCATTAATGTGCAATATAGATGGGGTCGCTCGGCTTGTTTAATTGATGGAGGGATGGGAGTCACAGGCATTTCTAAGATATCCCGAAGACTTCTGTGATAAATTTGAACTGCAGCGAATGGAGATGAATACCGGGATGGAAGAGAGGAGGGAGGGCAGTGGTTCCATGCGCTTTAGAAAGGAGGATGTGGCAGCTAGTTAGAATCCTAAGGAAAAAAGAGAGTTTATAGATAGAAGGAGAGACACTGGGGTTGGAGGGGGGAAGGTGAGCTGTACATGGGCGGAGCAAAACCCAAGGTTGGAATCAAATGTGGGACTTTTACCACAAATGATTCATAGGCAAATAAGAGGCCTAAGGGGGGGAGGGAGGGGGGAGGGGGGAGGGGAGGGGCATGGAGGAGGGATGGGGAGTGGGTTTGGGATTATGGGTGTTGGGGGGGGAATTAGGGGTAACACTCTGCGGAATAAGAAGAGATGGGTAGAGGAGTGAAAGAAGAAAGAGGTGTTATGGAAACCATGTTAAAGGGTGTAAGGGAAATATGGAAGCAAGTCCAGTTTTTCCCCCCCCCCCCCCCTAACTTATAATGTAAAGGGGTTGAGTAGTTCTGGGAAGAGATTTAGGTTGTTTAAAGAATTGCAATACAGAACATCTGTCGGTGGTTTTCCTGCAGAAAGGACACACTTGGGTATTGAGTCAAATGTTAGGCTGAAGACTAGATATTTCCCGGTATGGGTATTATGAGGATTCACCAATTAAAAGAGCAAAAGGGGTAGCCATAGGCTTTGCAAAGAATATAAGGTTTGAGTTGGAGAAGAGAATACTGGATCCAGATGGAAGGTTCTTGTTTTTTCCAGAGGGGTAAATTGCAAGAAAATTGAGTGTACAATAGCCAGCATATATTGCCCTAATAAGAAACCAGGGATATTTTTTGGGGAGTATTGAAGAAGTTGATGGATTTTAAAAGGGGCTGTCTGATAGTGGGCTGGAGACTTTAATGTTTGTATGGACCCGCGGATGGATACTACTTCTTTTGTGAGGAAGGAGGAAAGCGGGTCCCTGAGATCATTAAAGAAATGGATGCATGAATGCCAATTGGTGGATATATGGAGAATTGGGCATATGTAAGATAGAGATTAGACTTTTTTTCTCACATGTACATGAGACTTATTCTAGATTGGATTATATACTGGTAGAACATCGATTTTATAGAGTCTGTGTGGTGGAAGTAAAAATTTAAGTAAGTTCTTTATCAGATCATGCCCCCGGTTGCAATGAAGTCAAGATGGGGCAGGGAGGAGAGAGGAGGCTTAGTTTGGAGGATGAATGAGGCACTCCTTCTGGATCAAGAGATCGATCGCAAAGATCGAGATGGAAATTAAACAATTTTTTGAGGAGAACGATACAGAGGACGTGTCGGTTGCTACGGTGTGGGAGGCCCATAAGGCCTACATTAGAGGACTACTTATTGCAATAGGGGCAAAAAATAAAAAGAAAGGAGGGAAAAGATCAACGGACTTCTAATGTGAAATATTCGATCTTGAACAGGCTCATAAAAGGAAAATATCTCTAAGGAGATAAAGCAGAAAATAATAAAAAAAATGAAAGAAGAATTAGAGAATGTGATGGAAAGAGGGAAAAAAAGAAGAGTCTTTAATAAAGTAATAAGTGAAAGGTATAGATGGGGAGATAGGCCGGGAAAGTATTTAATGAGAGCCCTAAGGAAAAGAAAAAAAATAGGAATTATATAGAAAAAATAAGAAACCCCAAGGGTGAACTGGTTCA